CCCGCCCTAGACAGATCTCCCCAGCGAGGGATCTCTGACGCCTCAGGGAACTGGCAATGCCACGCGTCCGTCAGGCGACCGAAGCAGCGCTGGGTGGAGTGCGGGCCCCCGCACTGCTCACCAGCTCAGTCGCCGATACGGAGGACGTTAGTGCAGGGACCAAAACCCCCACCGCGCTGACGCGCAGTGTACCACTCACGAAGCTACTGAGGGGACAGGGTCACACCACTCCGCTGCTGCTGGCCCGGGCCACCACCTGAGCCACTCCTCTGCGCAGAGTCGCGGCCCGCTCCACCGCCGCCGCCGCCGCTGCTGCCTTCGCCGCCTCCTCCACCTCCGCCGCCTCAGCTCCCTCCGCCACCACCGCCGCCTCCGCCGCCTCCACTGCTGCCGCCGCCGCTGCCACCCCCGGCACCACTCCCACCACCACCCCCACTCCCTCCACTGCCTCCACCACCACCTCCACCGCCCCCGCCAGCCCCTCCAGCGCCCTTGCCCCTCTTGCCCTTGCCGGTGCGGCGTCTCCCGCTCGAAGCAGACGCAGCGCCGACCGACTCGAAACCAACGAGGTCGGCCGCAGCAGCAGAGGCAACAGAGGGCAAGAGGGGGGAGGGAGAACACCCCTCAAAGACGGGGGTGCGAGGGTCACCACGAGAGGCTCCTACAGCGACTATACTCTTCTCTGCTGCTAGGAGGGCCTTCTCGAGGAGGTCAACGGTGAGAGTGGTGGGGCAAACTGAGAGGAAGTGGTCCCTGACTACGCGGAGAGAGTCATGGAGTCGGGTGACTATGTAGTAGAGGGTGATGTACATGGGGGGGGGGGGTTCTTGGCGCAGAACTCAGCAGGAAGGGCAGCGCGGTAGCGAGTGTCACTAGTGCGGAGGTGCGTAATGAGGTCAGCGACTGTGGGAAAGGCAGCAAGGTCAGGGAAGAGGTACGGTAGCATGAGGCGGCTCAGTGCAGCAGTGGCAGGGGAAGAGTAGCGTGCAACTACAGCGTCGTACAAGGTCTGAGCACTCTTGTACTGGCTAAAGTGTGCACGCTCAGTGGTCGGTAAGTGGCGGCGCACAGCAAGGCGAGCAGCAGCATCGCGCGTGGCCCACTGTGAGCGAACAGTGGCGTCAGCATCAGCAGCAGGGGCAGGAGAGGCACCAGAAGTGAGGTCAAACAGGGAGAGACCGTCTGCCCTATCGCACTATAGGAAAAGCTGCAGATCATCTACCCAAACCTCAAAGTCAACTGCCCGACCCTCAGCATCAAAGGTGAGAACACTAGGGGTGGCCATGACAGCAGTAGACACGCAGTGAGTACAGTGGGGCAGGGCAGTGCAGTGGCAGAGGCGCTGCTCTTACCAGGTAAGTGAGGCGGGCAGGCCGACAGGCGGCGGCGCCTCGGCTGCAGTGCGGCTCGGCGGCTCGGCGGCTTGGCGGCTCGGCGGCAAAACGCGGCTCGGCGACTCGGCGGCAAAGGCGGCTCGGCGGCTCGGCAACACAGGCGGCTCGGCGGCTCAGCGGCTTGCTGGCTCGGCGGCGCAGCGGCTCGGCAGCTCGGCAGCAAAGGCAGCTCGGCGGGGCCGCTGAAGGGCGGCGTCCGGGCCGGTGAAAGGGCGGCGACGGGGCCGCGGAAGGGCGGCGACGGGGCCGCTGAAAGGGCGGCGACAGGGCCGCGGAAGGGCGGCGACGGGGCCGCTGAAAGGCGGCGACGGGGCCGCTGAAGGGCGGCGACAGGGCCGCTGAAAGGGCGGCGACAGGGTCGCGGAAGGGGTGGGCGGCGACGGGGCCGCTGAAAGGGCGGCGAGTGGGCCGCGGAAGGGCGGCGACGGGGCCGCTGAAGGGCAGCGACGGGGCCGCAAGTAGGGGCGGCGACGGGGCCGCTGAAAGGGCGGCGATAAGGCCGCGGAAGGGCGGCGACGGGGCCGCTGAAAGGCGGCGACGGGGCCGCTGAAGGGCGGCGACGGGGTCGCTGAAAGGGCGGCGACGGGGCCGCGGAAGGGCGGCGACAGAGCCGCTGAAAGGGCGGCGATGGGGCCGCGGAAGGGCGGCGACGGGGCCGCTGAAAGGCGGCGACGGGGCCGCGGAAGGGCAGCAACGGGGCCGCTGAAGGGTGGCGACGGGGCCGCTTAAAGGGCGGCGCGACGAGGCCACAGGGGCGGCGCGACGGGGCCGCAAGGGCGGCGCGACGGGGCCGTTAGGGGCCGTAAGAGGGGTCGTTAGGGGCCGTAAGAGGGGGAACGACACGGGGCGCGACTCGGGCAGGGGCCAAGCGCGCTCCGGGCAGGAAAAAAAAAGATCGGTGGGCCCTAGGAACAGTTCCCACGAGGGAACCAGCTCTATACCATGTGAAGTTTAGAACGAGAGGATGAATGAACTATGAAACAGTTGGGTACAAGTACTAACCCTAATTGGATTGTACCCTTTATGGGTTACCCCACTACAGCCTACACAGATGCATAAGCTATAATGTTCTGACAGCTAACCACGAATTGAGAGAACGGATGCATAGCAGACGACCAATCCCTACACGCAATCGACACGGTTTCAAACCGCGACCGTTGAAGTTGGCGGTAATAGTGGCTGATTGGGAAGATTTGGGAAAGGACTACCTTGGGTGGATAATAAGGTTCCGGAAGCTAGTGAGGGAGTGGTTCAGACACAGCGAATCTCAGAGAATTGGATCTGGGAAGCGGTTGTGTGTCAGAATAGCAGGATGGGGTGGAGCGCGGCTTTGATGATTGTATGGGATGGTGCCGTGCCGAGATGGGTGAGCTTGTGCTTGGGCTGTCTTGCGACCAGCGCGAAATTGGGAAAATACTGGATTCCCTGTTTTCGCACAAGCGAAAAGTTTCGTCACGTCATGGTAGTCGGTGATTGTGCCAGTTTTCCGCAAACACTAGCCGGGGAATGGCAGGTTCCATGCAAAAATGGCGCGCAGGCGAAAAGCCCTGTGCTGCGCGGGGCAAAGTGCGCTCCACAGCGCCGCAATGTACACCAGCCAAAGGCAAATAGAGGGCATTTATTTTAGCAGTAACACCCATGGAGCTCAATCGCACGCAAGGTAAGCTACGTGTCAAAATCGTAAAAGAGATGTCTTCTCATCGCCACCATGGTAACCAGCATTGCCGAGATGGTGAACATTATTGCCTGAATGGTAATAGACAGTGCGTCCGGAAATCCTGGATGGTAACTTCGTGTTCCAACCAAACTGTACACCGTACAGGTCAAGTTTGACTCAGCAAAAGGAAACTGACTGTCCACGTTTACACCCACAGAATGCGCAATTTTGTTTAGTAGAACGTTACATGCTCGTATTCGATACAATTTCCTATCACTATTACAGCAAGCATTTTATGGACACTCTGGAAAAACAAATGTAGCCTGACTATTACAAAAACTGGGATCGGATTACCCGTTAAAAATAGTTGATATAATGCCTTTAATGCATTATTTAATATATCAATAAAAGGATATATTTTTTATGTAACTTTTATTGTTTGTCATATGCAAAATCAATATTGTTCAAATTGATATTTATTTGTTTTGTAACTTGTTCTAGCTTGAATATAGGGTAAAATAATTTGGTTTAAATAATTTATTACTAGGATAGCTTTGTTGTTTGACATTGTGTGTTTTTTTTGTGGCGTTTGTTTAATAGTTAAGGCCAGATGTTTTGTTTCTTTTTTTTAACAGATTACAAGTCTTAATTTCGAAATTTTACCTTCTCGCATTGTAAACGCCGGTATTATAAACGGAATTGCGCATTCTGTGGGTGTAAACGTGGACAGTCAGTTTCCTTTTGCTGAGTCAAACCTGACCTGTACAATGTACAGTTTGGTTGGAACGCGAAGTTACCATCCATGATTTCCGGACGTTTTGTTCATTACCATTCAGGCAATAATGCTGACCATCTTGGCAATGCTGGTTACCATGGTGGCGATGAGAAGACATCTCTGTTACGATTTGGACACGTAGCTTACCTCGCGTGCGATCGAGCTCCATGAGTGTTACCGCTAAGATAAATGTCCGCAAAGAAACGATATCACAAGAGCCCTATCTTCATTTGAGAACCGGGATCTCTATAGTGAGGACAATTCCTGAGAAACAGTCAACCTGTGAGGATGCGTTGAAAATGACATGTATCCATTGATTCCGCACTACGGGCCAATAGTGTTGGCCCAAAAGTCCATGTGGCTCTTTCTCTGTGCAAGCGAACCAGCTCCACTTTCCTTTCTTGATGACGAGCTCTCTCCCCCCCACACAACTTTTTCCAAGTGCCACCAACCACAGACCTTTACCCATGTGAACCGAACTTTTGCTTTGGAAACTCGGTGGGGTTACACCAACTTTTTGGTGACGTCCTCAGCAATTCGTCGGCTGTTTTTCACCGAACCTGAGTACGAGCTTCGACGGCGCGCTGCTCTCGCCTAGCCTGCCAGTCGCGGTTCGCTTACAGTACCTGCTACTGCCGCAGCTCATTGCGTCACTACTGCCCCCGCACCACACACCCCTGCTTCGGCAGCTTGACTGACACAGTGCGCGGGCGGACTCGCGTCGTTTCCAGGGAGCTGGTGGGATGGCAGGTGGATCTGTCTGTGGATGGCATTGCTCAAGTCTAGCGCGATGTGGAGTGGAACAAACAACACGCTCGCTGCTGGGCTCCATACCATAAGGAACGCTGGAATCTCAAGTGGCGGCTGGTGGTGAGTTCACACCTGCCGATTTGTCAGCAGCACTGCAACTATTCGAGGGATATGTTGGGCCAGTGTCAGACCACTTAGAGTATTGTCCCCAAACCTAGTAACACGCCACTTTAATATCTATCCTTAGTTGGCAATCTGTGGTCTTATTACGGGTATGGAAATGGAAGCATGCGGTCCGCTTAGGGAGGTTCCACTCCACTCCTTATCGTCCGACGAGTTGCCGCATTTCTCGGCGGGAACATCCGGGAAAGTTCTATGGACATGCGAGAAGGACCGGGATTTCCGCCTAACTCGGGCGCGCGAGATGCTAGCTCACGCGAGCGACTCGGAGCGACGGCAGCTGGAGTCGTTTTACCCTGAACTACGGAGCGGCACGGACGACTTTGATGAGGTCCCAATGGACGGCGATGATTTGGCGACGATCGACTTGGACGACCCTCCACTGTTCTTCCTCCACGTCGGTCGCGACTGGGTCAGTCAGTAGTGCTCCCTGTCTGGCTGTGCCAGGTGGACTGTTTTCTGGATGTGGTCCGCAGTGCGCGGTGATCATGGCTGCTGCTAATTGAAATATTGGATGGGCAACACGCGTCTCGTTTCTGACGTCTATTTGTCATTTTTTATCCCCGTTTCTGCTCGTTCGCCTGGTCCTCCCTCTCCCTAATAGCTTGAAGCTGACGTCACCACGTCGACTAACAGCATCGATTTCGGCCTTATAGGCTGTCAGCTCTCTTCCGCTGATTTCGTCGGCTTGCGCGAGGTACCGCACGCGGCGGCCTCCGCAGATCTCCCCTCCGCGGATCTTCATCTCCAACCGCCGACTTCCGCCGCCAAATCCGCTTCCGCAGCAGCCGCCGCCGCCGCCGCCGCTTCGCGACGCCCGCGTGCCTTCTTATCGTCGCTGCTCGTGCCCTCCGCTAAGCTCGCTGGCGGCGCAGCGACGCGCAAGTCCGCGTCGGGATCCGCTGCTGCCGCCTTGGCTGGCGGAACGAACGGCGTGGCGCGCACGCGGCACAGCGTGCCGGATGGGGGTGAACGGCACGGCGCGCGGGATACAGGGCGCGCGCAGAAGACGGGGGAGGGTAATGGCGTGGCTTTGAACGGCGGAAAAGGGGGTTTCGGTGAAAGGGAAGAGCAGAGTGGGGGGCGGCGGGGGACCTGGACTTGCGGAGAGAACCAGGGGAAGGCGGTAGGCGGATGGTCGGAGCGGGGCCTGCGCACGTGGGAGATACTGTGGAAGGACAGCCGGTGGGACGGGCCCATGCGACGACTGACCTTCTCGTGCAACGCCAGCGGGTATGTGAAGGCGTGTGTAGGCGGCGTGGTGGGGACTCATGGGGATAGAAGGGGGGTGATGTGAGGCGACATGTGGGATTGACATGGTGCTGATGAGAGCTGTCCTTGATCAATTAGGAAACGAAGCATCGCAGCTAGGGGAAATTGAATAAGCTGGCATTGCATGTCATCTATGACATGTGATCTGGGGCACCCACGTGGAAATTCTCAACATTTGCCATCCCACCCCCACGTCCTGTGTGCGTCCCTGCCCGCGCGGCACCAGGTACAAGGCGATAGAGAGCAAGATAAGCGAGTGGGCAGCAGCAGCGCACAGCACGGCCATCATGATTGACGCCAGCAAGGCCGCCATCCGCGCCCGCTCCTCCTCCTCCGCCTCCGCCTCCTCCCTCTCCTCCTCCACTGCCCCTCACCGCCCCAGCACAGGCGGTACGGCAGTAGCAGCAGGGGCCGCAGGGACGAGCAGAGCACGAGCAGCAAACGGTGGAGTCAGCAGGGGAAGAGGCTTGGGTTTGAGGGGAATGCTGCGGAGCCCGTCAGATGGTGCAGTATCAGAAAGGGGTGCAGTGGGGATGCGCATGGGGGCGTCACAAGAGGGGGTGGGGGGCGAGGCTGTGCCGAGTGGGGAGTCGACGGTGGGCGGGTGGGCTGTGTTCTACGGCTCCCTACCCGCCAACGACGTTGCTGCCATTGCCATGCCGCCACACGCCGAGCAACCACGGGATGCAGCAGAGGAGCAGGCCCAGGGTAGGGCTCGCGAGCAGGAGGAGGAGAAGGTAGAGGATGTGAGGAGGGGAGCTGAGGAGCAGCAAGCAGCAGCGGTGCAGGGTGTGGGGAGTGAGAGGGGCGAGAGGCCATGTGGTGCTGGGGAACTGTTGGTGGAAGGAGGCTGTGCACGCATGCCAGGAGGAGGGGGTGAGGAGCCGACTGTGTGTGAGGGAGAGAAAGCGGCGAAAGAGGTGGACTCGGGTGCGGTGCAAGAGAATGGCATGTCGGAGGAGGGGTTGAGGGGCAGTGAACCGGCAAAGGGGGGCAGCAGTTCTGGTGAGGAGAGAGAGGGGGGCAATGGGGAGGAGGTAGTGGCGAAGGAAGAGGAGGTCCGGGAGGTGGCAGAAGAAGGGGGGGAGGAGGAGAAGGACGAAGTGGAGGAAGAGGAGGAGGATGAGGAGTGCAGTGTGATTCGGTGGGGTTCAGTGGCGGTGGAGGGCCGGTTCCTCCCCTCTCGGGATGCTCCGTCGCAGCTCTTATCCGATGGCAACTGCAAAGCGGTCAGTGCCTCTTCATGCCTCGTAGCCTTCTCTCCCACCCTCCTCCTTCACAACGACTTCAACCAGAGGACTAGTCTGTCCATGTCACGCCGCCCAACCCAGCCTTTGCCTGTTCTCTGCCTGCTTCCAAAAACGTGCTTCAGCATGTGCATTGGTGCTTCTACATCTCCCTCTCACTGCGCACCCCAATCCCCACAGCTGGCAGTGGCACTGCCTGCTCGCCTGCGCACGGCCCGGTGGACGCTGCTGTACAGCACTGCCAGGGACGGCATCAGGTGAATGGGGCTGCAGCCACCTGAGTGCCATGGTTGAGAGAAGCGTGCATGTAGGGCAAGGTTGGGTGATGGGTGGTGTGCATGGCATCACGGTGCAGGATTAGTGAAAGAGGAGGTGCATTGCACACACTGTCTGACAACGGCAACGGCGTGGTTGCTCCAAGGCACCACAGTTACTCTACTCCACTGCACATTTTTCAATCAATCCTGATGCCATTAGTGCACTTGCCATCAATCGCACCACCCTTTGCTGCAACCTCCTCGTTGTACGTCTTATTCAACTCTCCTGCACTTCCTCCCTTCCATTGTCCCCATGGTGCCGTCCCATCTCGCACTTGTCCTGGTCAGTCTGGCCACGCTGTACCGCAAAGTGGCGAAGAAGGGGCCTTCGCTGCTCATTGTGCGCGATTCTCGCAAGCATGTGAGCCCCCTTACCGCCTTCGTTTTCTTTCCTCCTCTTTTCTCCGTTTGCTCCGTCCCCTCCCTCCATCTCTTTCTCATTTTTTAAGTGACATTCATAGCGCACATCGTGGACATGCAACAATTCTTTCAATGCATGTTTCGTGTCTCATGTCGCATGTCCCGTGCCATGGCATGAGCCAGGTGTTTGGCTGCTTTACATCAGAGGAATGGAAGGCCTCTACCCGTTATTATGGCAATGGGGAGTGCTTTGCCTTCCAGGTATGTCTTTGGCACATGCACGGTGCGTGTACGGTGCTCACAATACCTTCCATCCATGATGTGTGCACCAACTCCCCATGATGTCACACGTTCTCACCTATCGCATCCCCCCACTTGCCTTCTTTGTTCATAAGTCCAAAGCCCCCTCTTTCTCCCTCTCCCACCTTCTTTCCATCTGGCTCATGTGCAGCAATACCCGAACCCGACCGGTTCTCTGACTTCCCTGTCACTCATCAACTGTCACCGATCTCCCCATTCCCCCATCAATCCTACCGCAACCCTGCTTGGTCCTCTCCTCTCCCCTTTTGCCTTTCCATGGTACACCCCACCAGGTGCGGCCTCGGCTGATGGCTTTCCGGTGGACACGGGTGAACGCACTGTTCATGCTCTCCAGCGCCAACTCCCTCGCTCTCGGTGGCGGGTGAGTGAGACCCACATGCCACCACCCCGATCACTCTGGGATGCTGCCATGCCATTGGCTATCACACCACAATTGCCTTGCAATGTTCTGTAGCATGCGTGTGAGGCTTGCAATATTCCATGCTTCAATTATGGTGCTGATGCATCACTTACATTGTCTGAATGGTTTGCCCCTTATTTAAGACTCTGCTCTGGCTCATACTGGCAGTTTGTAAAATCATATTCATATGATATGAATGCATCTCATCCCTGCTATGACCTTCTGATTCTGATCTGATTTTTTATCCTCACCGCAAATCCACCCTCCTACATCCCCACTTTCCCTTCGTCACTTGTCCATTTTCCTTTTTTCGAATGCTGCCGGCAACCAACAAAACGTGTGTGGTAAACATGGCAGGGATCACTACAGCCTGCTGCTGCAGTCTGACCTGCTGTCAGGCTACAGTGGACCCTGTTCCACCTTTGGCAGCTGCTCCCTCTCAAGGTATGTCTTTCACAAAGCAGAGAATTCATGTCTACTGCAGAGCAAGAACATGCATCCATCTCACATGCACTTGGGCATGGGTATAGGCCATAGCACAGCAGAGAGAACTTGGAGATGCCTGATGTGGTCGGTGCTAATATACTCTTTGTGTGTGTGTGTGTGTGTGTGTGTGTGTGTGTGTGTGTGTGTGTGTGTGTGTGTGTGTGTGTGTGTGTGTGTGTGTGTGTGTGTGTGTGTGTGTGTGTGTGTGTGTGTGTGTGTGTGTGTGTGTGTGTGTGTGTGTGTGTGTGTGTGTGTGTGTGTGTGTGTGTGTGTGTGTGTGTGTGTGTGTGTGTGTGTGTGTGTGTGTGTGTGTGTGTGTGTGTGTGTGTGTGTGTGTGTGTGGTGTGTGTGTGTGTGTGTGTGTGTGTGTGTGTGTGTGTGTGTGTGTGTGTGTGTGTGTGTGTGTGTGTGTGTGTGTGTGTGTGTGTGTGTGTGTGTGTGTGTGTGTGTGTGTGTGTGTGTGTGTGTGTGTGTGTGTGTGTGTGTGTGTGTGTGTGTGTGTGTGTGTGTGTGTGTGTGTGTGTGTGTGTGTGTGTGTGTGTGTGTGTGTGTGTGTGTGTGTGTGTGTGTGTGTGTGTGTGTGTGTGTGTGTGTGTGTGTGTGTGTGTGTGTGTGTGTGTGTGTGTGTGTGTGTGTGTGTGTGTGTGTGTGTGTGTGTGTGTGTGTGTGTGTGTGTGTGTGTGTGTGTGTGTGTGTGTGTGTGTGTGTGGTGTGTGTGTGTGTGTGTGTGTGTGTGTGTGTGTGTGTGTGTGTGTGTGTGTGTGTGTGTGTGTGTGTGTGTGTGTGTGTGTGTGTGTGTGTGTGTGTGTGTTGTGTGTGTGTGTGTGTGTGTGTGTGTGTGTGTGTGTGTGTGTGTGTGTGTGTGTGTGTGTGTGTGTGTGTGTGTGTGTGTGTGTGTGTGTGTGTGTGTGTGTGTGTGTGTGTGTGTGTGTGTGTGTGTGTGTGTGTGTGTGTGTGTGTGTGTGTGTGTGTGTGTGTGTGTGTGTGTGTGTGTGTGTGTGTGTGTGTGTGTGTGTGTGTGTGTGTGTGTGTGTGTGTGTGTGTGTGTGTGTGTGTGTGTGTGTGTGTGTGTGTGTGTGTGTGTGTGTGTGTGTGTGTGTGTGTGTGTGTGTGTGTGTGTGTGTGTGTGTGTGTGTGTGTGTGTGTGTGTGTGTGTGTGTGTGTGTGTGTGTGTGTGTGTGTGTGTGTGTGTGTGTGTGTGTGTGTGTGTGTGTGTGTGTGTGTGTGTGTGTGTGTGTGTGTGTGTGTGTGTGTGTGTGTGTGTGTGTGTGTGTGTGTGTGTGTGTGTGTGTGTGTGTGTGTGTGTGTGTGTGTGTGTGTGTGTGTGTGTGTGTGTGTGTGTGTGTGTGTGTGTGTGTGTGTGTGTGTGTGTGTGTGTGTGTGTGTGTGTGTGTGTGTGTGTGTGTGTGTGTGTGTGTGTGTGTGTGTGTGTGTGTGTGTGTGTGTGTGTGTGTGTGTGTGTGTGTGTGTGTGTGTGTGTGTGTGTGTGTGTGTGTGTGTGTGTGTGTGTGTGTGTGTGTGTGTGTGTGTGTGTGTGTGTGTGTGTGTGTGTGTGTGTGTGTGTGTGTGTGTGTGTGTGTGTGTGTGTGTGTGTGTGTGTGTGTGTGTGTGTGTGTGTGTGTGTGTGTGTGTGTGTGTGTGTGTGTGTGTGTGTGATATTGGAAGCAGCACGGAGGACTTCAATGTGACACATGTGGAGGTGTGGGGCTTCAGATGATACCATACCAATGCTATGTATCTGGAGTGTTGCATTGGTTGGGAGTTGTCCTGGTGGCTGGGTTGCAAGAGTGCCATCCACAGTCTATCCGGCTAACAATTGCTTCATGTGCATATTTTAGATTTCTGATTATACTGATGCGTTGTGGGAAAAGAAACACTCTGCACTTTAAATGACATTATATATACATGCTTTAGTACCTCTTTCTTACAGCCTTAGCGTGAAATTGGAATGACTTTTTTTTTTGTGTGGCAAGAAACGCCCAGTCATCACATGCACTTCTTGGATGTAGGTGGTGCTACTTACGAGGGGTATGTCCCACGTGACCTGAATATCCAGCGAGGCGAGATCATGCGGTCTGATTGGATGGCGGCCAGCGGTAGCGAGAATGCGGGGAAAGGTTATGAGTACGCTGGCAAGAATGGGTGACGTGGTGTCCTTTATGACGACGACGACTCCCTACTCCACCATAATTTGCTCAGCGCTGCAGACTCCTCGGGTTTTGTGCGAAACAAACACGAAGGCTGATTGGTGGATCTTCTTTTCGAGAGCGCCACAATAGCCTACCCGACGATTGCGATTTTCTATTTGCCAAGGTTTCTGCCCGTGTACATTGAAGGGGTAGTCGCGTGGCCACTGTGCATCGTAGCGGCAAGGAAACTAGGAGGCGAAGCTTGCCTAGCAGGGAAAAAATCGTTGAAGTGCAGACATCATCATACCTGCCTGGTTAGAAAAATCTTCTGTCAGGGCAGCAATACATCATCCAATCCCCTGACATTGTGAGAAGGAAGGCCTCGTCTATTCCGCAAAGTTACATCGTTTTCCGTCGATGGCGAGACGCTTGGCAGTTCTGTGCACTGTTGTCACGACTAACGACACTGCGAACAAGAGCCGCGAAGTGGATGTGATTGTTGTTGGGGAGCAAGAAACCGAAATCTTGATCTTCTCGCCCTTTCTGCTCCGCCCCCGCACTGGTGCTGTGCGTGCTTCAACATCACACAGCAGAAATCTAACGAGCTGCCTCATTGACAGGATTTCACAGGAAGTTAGCTGTTGTATGCTGATATATGGAAAGCCATTTGTTCGTTTTCCGTGTGCTTTTCTCCGAAGCTTACTGAGCTGTATTCGGCCTATGTGCTCTGGGGTGCGTTTGTTTTTCAATGGAGCCTTCTTGTGCCATGAATCTCCTCTGATCGAACAGTGGCGAACTCTAGGTCAGTGGTCACTATGCCAGGTCTGTTCGTTGTCACTCATTCCTGCTTCACGATGTGATGTTTTCCACGTCTGCCTGTCCTTGTGATGTTTTTAACATCCAACTTTCCATCTCACATCCTCCCTTCACTGGATCCCTCCCGCTTCTTACATCCGTTCTTTAGTTTTTGTTCTTTACCTTCCCTCCGTCCACCTACCATCCCCTCTCCGGCACTTCATTACCATGAAACCAGTGGAGATTTGTCTTAGGTTTTAGCTGCTGTCGTCCTGTTGAATCGCCTCGGCATCGACAAGGCCGCCCAAGACCCTGAGAACAACGGTGGCGGGATCCGCTCTCGTCTTCCTTGGAATATCTCCTTCCGTCTTTTCAAAGTTGTCCTGGTCCAAGTCGCGAAGCATGGCTGGTAGGTTGCTACACAGTGCATCTCCGACCACCTCCGCTCTTCTCACAGACTCCACGTCAGCAACCTGTGTACCGGCATCCCCACTAACAGGAACGCTCAGCCTTTGCAGCAGCAGTAGCCGCGTGGGCTCGTGCGGTTGCTGCAGGTCCGCTTGCAACGCTCGTCTTTCCCGGCCGTCAGCTTCCCCGTTGTCCTCCCTAACGGCGGCTTATGACGTCAGACTTCCCGTAAGTGCCAGCAGCAGCGTTGAGTCTCTCCCCTCTCGTCCGTGTGTGTCGAGGCATAAAGGTGTCCCTTCGTCTCTCCGCTGGTCGCAACCCCACCAAGCCGCGCCAGGGTTGCGATACTTGAGACGCTCCAACCACGGGTTGCTGGGGGCCGGCGTGCGCGCGTGGGGTCCTGACAGGAATCCACCGCCGAGTGCGCCGTCCGTGCCGGCGGTAAACACGCGGGAAGGTGGTGTTGTAGCTGACGGGGAGGATGGCGCGTTGGGTGATGGGTCTCCTCACGGGCAAGGGGGGAAGGTGAACCAAGTGAAAGGTCCGGAAGGGGAGGAGGAGGTGGGGTTGGGAGAGGGTGTGGGCGAGGACCTGGGTTTGGGATTAGATGGAAACAGAGGGACTGAATACATCGTTGGTGATTACATTGGAGACGGTGAGTTGGAGCGATTGGTGCGCGACATTGCGACGATTGAACGACAGAACGACACGATGGTGCGGCAGGTGTCGGAGTACACGCGCATGCTGGCGGAGGCGTCGCGGAAGCTGAGCATGTGCGCGCAGTCGACGCGCATCGAGGCGGCGAAGCTGAAGAAAGTCGCGCGGCTGCAGCAAGCTGCGGAGGTGCGCCGCTTGGGGGAGATGCGCTTGGCGGCAGCGGCAGAGGCGCGCCGGCAGGAGGAGGAGCGGCGTCGGGAAAGCATGCGCGCGGCCGCGGAGTGGCAGGCGGAGAGACTCGCCGCGCAGCAACGTGCCGCGGAAGGTTAGCGAGGGTGGAGGGGGGGGGGAGGAGGGGGGATGGGTTTGCCGGGTGCGTGATTAGAGAGGCTGATGAAGGAACGGGTTGCATGTTTCCTGGGGTATGCTTGCCAGGGTAATGGTGGGGAACGGGAAGGGCGTCAGCCGTGCGGGTTGTCCTGATAAGCGGGATTGGAAGCCACGTTGATATTGTTTTACATCGCCGTACCCGACTGCTGTCACGCCTGCAGTCGTTCCCTCTGACATCTCTCCCTCACCTTACCACTCTCATTTCTTTACCTTGCGCGTCCCCCTCGTCTCCCTCACGCTGCGACCAGCGGCAGCGTCTCTCTCCACAAGCGCAGCCCCGGCGGAAGCGGGAGCAGGCAGAAACGGGGCGCTTGTGCAGGGCATGGAGAGCGTGGGGGCGGCGCAGGGGAGGGCGGACCTGCAAGGGGTTGGCGCTGCCAGTGTTGATGCGGTGCAGGCTGCGCCTGAGGCGACGGCGGCTACTGCTGCGTCTCCCCTCACTTCTTCACCTACTAATGCTGCAGCAGGGCAAGCAGCAGCAGTAGCATATCTTGAAGTCGCTGGGGCACCACCGACAGAGGCATCAACCCCTACAGCACCACCAGGCGTAGTGGTGGCTGCAGCAGCGGCAGCAGCGGCGGCTGCTGCTTCCTCCGCTGCGCCCGCACGTGCAGTGGACGGTGCTGCGCAGGCGAGCGAAGGCGCAATAAGAGTACCACAGGCGCAAGAATCAGACGCAGAGGGCGACAGTGGGTCGGAATGGAGCACAGAGGCAGTGCAGGCCTCCGAGGGGGAGGAGGAGGAGGAGGACACATCCGTGGTGACAGAAACGACCCAGTGCTCCATCGACCATCCAGGCGCGCTCTCGTGTCTCACCACCACCATCCGCAAGGACGACCGCAACCGCCAGGCCGTGGTGACCCTCGAGGCCACCGTGCAGTGCGCGGGCGACGCGTGCCTCACCTCCGCGCCGTCGCTCGGCGCGGACGACTACGCCGCGCTGGCCATCGCCACTATCGCGGACGCCGCCACGCAGATGCGGCGGGAGCAGCGGCTGCAGCCGGGCGGCGAGGCGGGGGACCCGGCGGCGAGCGAGAGGAGGAGGCGGATTGAGGAGCTGCTGGCGAAGGGGCACGTGGTGAAGGCGCGGCCTGTGGAGCCGCCGTCGAGGTTCGGCCATGAGAGCTTCCTCGTGCGCCTGCGCTCGCCAGACACCAAGGAAGAGGTGCACGGGGGGGGGGGGGGGGGGTAGGGGAGAGGAGGGAGGTGAGGGCCAGAAGGAAGAGGTGTGGTGTGGATAAGGGTTGGACCTATGGCCGGTGGACCTGCAATGCAGTGTAGGATGGGTTGCTAAGTTGGGACGTGAACGCAAGAAGGCCATTGCGCTGGGAGACCTTGTGATATGCATGTGTCATCATTGTTTAATCCGTTCTATGTTTATCATGCTGTCAGATCGACGCCATGTTCAAGCCGCGGGTGGAGGGCGATGCTGAGGGGTGGCACAGAGCGCCAATAGAGTGGGTGGCATACGAGCTCAACCTGCTGCTGGGCATGGACTACATTCCCCCGGTGAGTCCCCCTTGCGTGCTCGCTCTCCCTAGCTACCAACGAGCACACGATGCATGGAAGGATGAACCAGATTGGTAACTTTAGTCTATGTCATCATGCTAAACGAACGCGCATGAACCCTGCCCCTGTCTTCAAAACCTCGGAGCTTCGTCCAGGTCCCTAGCAAAAGCTGAAAGCAGTGCGCCAGCTTGACTAAACTCATGAAGCTGGCAGCTTGCACCCAGGCACTCACGCGCAGTTTTCTGCAGCCGCACCAGGTTTCCTCCCCCTCCACAATTTCTGAATCCCCACCCTCTGTGTAACCCAGGTGGCGTACCGCACAGGCGGAGTGGAGCTCACTCTCAGCCGCTCATCTGACCACAGCAACTCGCAGCACCACCACCACGAGCAGCACCAGCAGCAGCAGGAGCAGCACACAGTGCGGTACGAGGAGGGCGCGTTCATCTACTGGGTGCCACACACCAAGGAGCTGCGCAAGGTGGCGGCGGCGTCGTGGGGCGTGTCTGTGGCGCACCTGCTGAGTGACACGCGCATCCTGGACGTGCTGCTGAACAACAGCGACAGGCACCACGGGCACTTTCTCTTCGGCCAGCACTGGACGGATGGCACCATGCGCCCCGTGCTCATTGACCATGCTGCTGGCTTTCGACGGGTGAGGAGCCAGGATAGGTGATGCTGGAAGCTTGCAGGCTGCTGGTGGTATTGTTTGTACTGGTTTGTTCAGACTCTGTTTCCTCCTGCCTCTTTCCGCTCGTCTCTGTTGCTGCCTTTTCTTCCCCTTTTTTTCCTTACTTATTTCTCTATTCTGATGCCTCTTGCCTTTTCTTATCTCACTGTTCCCTGTCGAGCCCCTCCACCCCCCTTCCCTCCCCTCCCTCGCCCCTCTCTCCTTAACGTGTCCTCGCCTTGCTATTTCTCAGGAGGCGGTGGTGCTGATGGAGCATGAGAACGCGTTTCAGACGGGGTCCATCCGGTGTGTGAGTGCGCACACGTACTTGCGCCTGCGCTTCCTGGACCGCTCCATCCTCGCCCTCAAGTTCAGCGGCATGCTCAGCGAGCAGGAGATCACCGACCTCATCACCCGCAGGGACCAGGTCAGCCAACGGAAAGGGGGAACTTAGAGAGGATAATTTTGGTGAAAGGCGAATGATGCAGGCTGGGTGTGGCTGGGAGCGCGTGATCTTTGAGTACATCTGACCAGTGTCTGATGCTTTCTCTTTCAATACCGTTTTATTGCATGCTATTCTACACTCTGAACTCTATTGTGAGACGATGTGTAACTTATCATATGTCACTCTTCATTCTCTGCTTTCATTTCCCTTCTGGCACCACCTTCTTACACCGGCGTCAGCATACTGATTGGACCCACACGCCCTTGTTTGGAATGGCTTTTGAACCTGGGTTTTGTCTTTTACCACTTGCCCGCCTCCCTTGTCCTGCCCATGTGTTTGCAGGTACTGAGGTATCTGGACCATCTGGTGAAGGAGAGGGGCTACCAGCGCACTGTCGTGGATTAGCCTTCTGCCGAGGTTGGTAAACATAGGTCGCCAGGGAGGGGAGCATGGGAGTCCTTGGCAATGGTCACTGTATGGGCGATTGTATGGGTGAGTGTGGGAAGTTAATGAGAGAAGATGCCATGCCATTTCACAAGCATCTGCAACACATTCACCTATGCCTGCACTGACAAACACGCGAATGCACATGTAATCACCTGTGTGGCGCATGCAAGTGCACATGTAGTCATGCACACGAGTGTGAATCACAACACTATGTTACTACCACACACAAAAATACGCATTCGCAGCCTGAGGACTTGCATGCGGCTGCATTGCATGCTTGTACACTGCACCCTGAGTTATGCGTCATATCTATTCCTGTGTTATTCCGCCACTGTCACCTCCTTCGCTTTGGCATTGCAAGTCATGCTGATGCGCGCACTTAGCCTAATCATTCCAGTACAACATGCCCATTCTTGTCCTTCACTTCCAATCCACCAATTTCATGGACTGTGCCAGTCATGGGGTTTGTTGCTTTCCTGTTTCCTGATGGCACGCTTTGCTTGCTGCCTTGCCCTGCCTTGCGATGCGCTTGCCTGCACGTTGTCGTGATCGTGACAGCAACATCATCAGCACTCATCAGACGCAGATCCATGTTTATGTAAACGCACAAATGCGCACAACCACACATGCGGGCATACACGCATCCTAGCGTCTATTTCCTGTGGGCACACATGACACTCCACCTTCCCACATTGCAAGGTCTCCTGCTCCTATTCCTGACAGTCCTTTTATGGTTCCTGTTGCCTTATTCCAACCTGCATTGTTCCCAGGACACAATCAAGGGGGTCGCGAGGAGGAGAGTCGTGGGATGATCAGTGTTGATGATATGGTTATGCAAGCATGCATGGCGGGGCCATGAAATATGAAAACTATATGGTATCTCAAGGCCCAGAGGTTTGGGTGCGATTGCCATTTGTTGCAGTTGCTGCTGATAGACACCATAGCAGGTAGTTTAAACGGACGATGGAGTTGCTTACTTCTTGCAGTGTTGTTCCATAGCAAGAACTTCACACAACTGGCGTACTTGTGTGCTGCTTCATGTTCCATAGTTTTAAAGATAGTTTCAACGCCTGTTCGGTGCTTTGTGATCCAAAAAGAGCCGAATGTGTTTCAATGTGATGCTTCAAATTTCAGACGCAAAGCATCAGGATTGTAATGTTGACTTAGTTAGCTGTTTTTTAATTGTTTTCCAGTGAAAGAGATATGCACTCGTTCATTACAGCTAAGGGCATGTTCCTACGGCCCCTTATCAGGGCCGCCTCTTATCAGCCTCGCTAAATTCGACTGTAATTCGGCTGGAGCGAGAAACCTCTTGTCAGATAAACTTGCCGGTTTGCAGTTGTGTGCGAACTTGAAAGTTGGATGATGTGGCACAGTGCCGCGAAACCGTGGGCATCAAATTGTGACGTCCCATGAGAACCGCGATCCGTTCAATATGCGACATTGCCACATCAGCGTAAAACGCATTGCACAAAATACAAACCCAACAACCCACGTAGTCTCAACCAAGCAACAATCGTTCACAGATAAAAGCACGCACAAACCATAAAAAGAAATAACAACTCCGGGAATCTAGCACGCGTAGATTAGACCGGGGAGGCACTATGACCGATGTTCCGTTCCTCCCACGCCTGCTAATAGTATGGCATGCGTTTTACTTCAGCTCCTTCTTCGACTGTGCCACGAAGGCCTGCATTCAACTGCTAGAGCACATCGACGCCGCGGAGCAGGAAGAGACATGTGTAGAGTCCCGAAGTGACCTGCGCATGCGGAACCGCCAACTACCGCGGCGGAGACTAGACGTGTGGGAGGATGAGATGGCATCGATGTCGGACGAGACGTTTACTGACCTGTTCCGCATAAACCGGGCCATATTAGACCACATATGCGAGGGAATGCACCATGTATTGCACCCAGTCATACATAGGCACGCACTGCCTATTCGAGTAGCTATTCTGATCCCAATAAAATACTTTGCGAGCGCCATGGCGTACATCAATCTTGCTTTCTGGTTCGGGGTCCCTAAAACGCTATGTCATAGGCTTGTTGATTTGTTTTTGCAGAATTTCCCGCGCGTTTTTAAGAAGGCCTGGGTCCGATTTCCAACGCAAGACGAGATGCGGGTCATGGCGGAGGAATTTAAAAGCATCAAAGGTGTTCCAGCGGTTATTGGTGCCATTGATGGCACCCATGTCCAGATCCGGGGAATGGAAGTGTTAGAATCCCAACCACTAGACCATTGGGATAAAAGGGCTTGTTTCAGTAGCGGGTCAGTGCGCCCATAACCCCCCAGGCGAACGCGCCTGTAACCCTCTCCATGATCAATCGGGCATCCACAGTGCAGATCTACTGACACCCCCCCACAATGGGAGGCCCAGGATTAAGCACAGCGGCAACGGCCTACATGTGCATACACCAGGATCGATCGGGGATCTCACAGTGTAGCTCTACTGAGAGGAAGGGCATCGGTCGAAGTATTATACGCGTAAATCACAGTATGCCGTATAGCTGCAAGTAACATGCGACGCTAGAGGAATTATCTGGGATTATTTGATAGGCTTTCCGGGCACAGCTCATGACCAGCGGGTGTTCATACAATCCAACCTCTACAAACGACTGGAAAATGGTGACATCGCCCCATACCAGCTAGTCGGCGATGCAGCTTATCCCCTCCGCGACTATTGCCTCACGCCATTGCACGCTCCGACTAGCCGCCTCATGCTCGAGTGGCAGCAGACATTCAACTACTGCCAATCTGCAACCCGCATGTCCGTGGAGCGCACGAACGGCCAGTTCAAGGGCCGGTACCGGCTGTTCGCCGGCCGTCACGATTGTGCGCTCCGGTGGGTTCTCGCCGGCGCCAGTTGTGTGGTTATCCTGCACAATATGGGCACTGGGATGGCAGGGCCACGCATGAAGACCCCAAACATCAGATGGGCGGCTATTTCACTCACCCGGGACCCGTGGTGGACGCGCGGAGAACTCGCCGAGTATAAGTGGGAGGCGTGTGACATTGTCACGCCATTCGAACTGAAGGAACGCCGTAAAAGGCTCGGAATGGCACTGCATGACGCATACCTTAAACGACGTCGTCAGAACCGCCACTCCTCAACCTCGTCGCTGAGCGTGGCATTGTCTGCGTCCGGCCATGCGTTGTCACCGCCAGCACGTCCGCGGGAGAAGCGAAGCAGGCGACTAGTTTGAGACTGCTGGCTTGCCATCCACTCCCGGCATACTCCGGTGATCTGGGAGACGCCCTCCTCTGAGCATCGCGTGAGAGTGTCGGCAAGTTGAGCAGCCGCCATAGTTGCTGTCTCGTTGATGCGACGTTTTGCGCTCGGGGGTGTGCCGCGGCCTGCAGGCACATAGGCATTGGGGTGGAAAAAGTGTACACAATTTGAAATGCCTTGTTTGAAATCTTGAGGGTGATTGTGTACTTTGGTTCAGTAGCAAACGGTGAACTACAACTTAGTCACATCCCCGTTCGCCCTACCCTACGCCCTGGCCCGACGCCCTACCCTACGCCCTGGCCCGTCGCCCTACCCTACGCCCTAGCCCGTCGCCCTACCCTACGCCCTGGCCCGTCGCCCTAGCCCGCTCTTCCGCTGCGACTGAGTCCCCTTCCCACCTGAACCCTAATTTGCCTCTTCTCCCCGGTTGTTACTCGCCTGTTCGTTCGCGTTAGTTCTCACTATGGCGACTCCGCGAGTTCTTCGTTTCGACGCTGACGGTAGACCACTTGACTTTTCCGTCTGGCTTCTTCGCGCTCGCCGTCTGTTAGAGAGTCAGGTCCAGGGGGGCGAGACCCTCTGGTCGCACGCTACTGGTGACCTCCCCGAGCCCCCCGAGCCTACAGCTTTAGGCTCTGCCCCTGACGACGCTGCTACGGCTCGCTTTGCCCGTCAGCGCGCTGACCGGACGGCTTGGACGTCGCGTGACGCTGCGGCCTGCATCGCACTCAGCAGCCTCCTCCCTGAGTCAGAGGAGGTCCACTTTACTCAGGTTCGCACCGCTGCTGCGTACCTCACTGCGATTAAGGCCCGCTACTCTACTCCCGCTACTGTCTCTCTTGGCCGTCTTTTCCTCCCGTTCCTGTTTCCTGATCTCGCCTTGTTTGAGCGCTCTGCTGACTTGATCGCTCACCTCCGCTCGCTCGACGCTAGTTACCGCGCTGCTTGCACTGAGGCACAGCTTGCACTGCTTCCTCCCCCCATGGCGATTACTGTCTATTTCATCGCCACTAGCCTCCCTGACCGCCTAGCCTCCGTTCGTGACGCGCTTCTGCTGAAGCACCCTAGTGAGCTGACTATCGAGGTCCTTGAGTCTGCACTCAAGGACGTCGAGAGCAACCTTCGCTCGGTAGCTGCCGCCTCTGGTACTGTGTCCCCCCCACTCTTCCACGGGTGCACAGTCCCGCAGTTACCCACCTTCACTGCCTCTCTCGCCACTGCCGCTACTGATGCGACTGCGGCTGCTGGTACGACTGCGTCGCGGTCCCGCGGCAAGGGGGGCAAGAAAGGTAGTTCTGGTGGAGGTGGAGGTGGAGGTAGCGGAGGTAGTGGGGGTGCTGTTGCGACTGGCGGTGGTGGGAGTGCAGCGTCTGGAGAGACCCCTCGTGCAGCGGCTGGTGACTCCACTGCGCCTGCTGGTGGCGGCGACCCCCGAGCTCGTCAGTCGCCTCCTGTACTGCCGACCCCGCTAGGTGGAGCAGCGGCGTGGTACCAGGCTCAGCGTCAGCAGCACCTTCAGCAGCAGCAGCAGCCCCTTTCCTCCCGCCAGCCTCAGCAGCAGCAGCGTCAGCAGCTGGCTCCGGGGTCGGGGCTGCGTCAGCCCCAGCGCGGTGCTTCTTACCCTCCCCGCACCTATCAGGTTCTGACAGGTCCTCGTCGGGGCCACCCTTGTGGCCGCTTTCACCCCCCTGGTCAGTGCTTTGCTCAGCTCACTGACACGGTCCGGTT